GTAGGGAAACAGAGACTACACCTGACTTTTCAATTGTTAGATACAGAACTGTAGCAAATATTTCATAAATAAGGGATATTTATTTATTTATTTTTTTAATGGAGTTGAAGTTTTGTGTGTGGATTGGCTGGAGTGTTTGGGCAGAAGATCAGAACTTAGTTTATTTTCAAGAGATGTGCCTTTACAAGCTTTGAATGTGAAATATTCTCCATACTGTTTACATTGTGTGTGTACTACCGCAAGTTTTTACAACACATGATTTAACAAAAAAAAAAAAAGTAAATAAAAAATTAAGTGTGAGGCTTTGCAAATAATCCAATGGTATCTACTTTTTGTTTATTGTTAAAGTGAATATGTATAATCTTGGGGCAAATTTTCAAAGCTACTTCTAAACGATAGTGCAAGTGCTTGCTCACTTAGTGCTCAGACAGACAGGCTCTTTCAAAGCAAGTTTGCATTGTTAAAGAAATTACTTCCATCAGCAAGGGTATATTAGTTAACAGATCTTAGGTGGTGCACAGGAGTGCTTCTCCAATTTAATGCAACCCTGGAAGGAGGCAATCTAAGATCACCTTCCTGTAGTATCCTCTCCTACCTATCTCTAATACTGCCTTTCAGTTAATTTTTGTCAGATATAGAGGCTCAAATCCAGTCCAGTTAAGATTAGACATATGGGTGAGGTATCTAGGGAAGGTTCATAATTCATTGACAAGATAGGCATACATGCCACCATATCATCCGCTCCACCTGAGATCTGAATTACTCGCTGGTGGTGCCTCTCTCTTCCCATTGATGATAAAGGCCGCCTAGGAGACCTAAAAAATGAGATGTTAGTTAGTTTGTAAAAACTGGGACAATAATTACTTCATCTTACACGGAATTTCAGTTCCTGAGGCCAATGTGGCTGGAAAATGTGGCTGAAAATCTCTGAGTATAGTGTACTGCTCCTTAGAGGCTTGGTTTTTTTTAACTGCATCTGTCTCATATTTTAAACTTGCCTCCAAGCTGGGATTTAGACACCAAATTTGAAACACTGTTCTGTATATAATTTTTATTCTCAGGTGGGACCAGTAAGTATGTAGTAGAATATGTAGTAAAATACAATAAAATATGGTAGCAAATATTTAGTTTCTTCTACCTCAGTAAACATATTAGTTTTAGAAAGCTGTATTTTGGTCCAGAAAGCTGTAAACAGTTATGTTATTAAACCTAATCGAACCCAGTATAATTCCATGTATTAGGAAAAAAACAGATATTAGGGCAGATCAGAAATGAAAGGAACTGTTTTGGCTTTTGTGTCTGCTTTTGTGGTTCTCAACACTACTTGATTATATAGCGTTACTTCATCTTTTGATAAGGATGTGCTGCAATGAATTGAAGATAGGAACATGAAAAAAAAATGTACATAGAAAAAAATCAGTGTCTTGAGCAGATTCAGATGAACAGATCCAGCCAGATAAAAACTGTGGTTGCGTTTTTATATGCACAGTGTGTAAAAAGCAAGGGTTGAGGTAAAGTCCCCAAATATAATTGGCTAGAACTGACCAGCTGGATTAAATTTACCGGTGCCATAAACAAAATGAAGAAGGGAGGGCAAGGAATTGTTTTTCAAAGTATTTTTTGTGTCCAGTACAATATAACTTTAAAAGTTTTCAAGTCCTTTCAAAAGACAAGGCTTTATCAGCCACTATGGAACAGCAAACACTGCAGCAGGAGATTCAAGATTATTCTGCCTATGTTTTTGCAGACAGAGCATGAAAGGACAAATGAAAGGAGATGATGTTGGGTGGTAGGAATCCTCCCATTCCTATCAGCTCATTCTGCTATCCCAGCTGAAGTCCAACATAAAAGTTCATGGATTTTTGCTCTATAGGGACAGTTCCCCTTTCATTTTTCTGGAGAAACTGAGGTGGTGGAGGCCTCCTTTTTTGTCTTCTGCATAATACAGAGAGTTGGGTTCTTCCACTGTTTTCCACTGTGTGTTTCCAGGTGCTTTTTCTGGAATTAGCATATTACTATTATTTCTATCATGTAACTACACATTAATTGCCAACTACCATGTGAGTGAAATGCACTTAGGCAGTTGTGACATCTGTTAACACGATTCTTCCTTTTTCTTTTAATTTTATCTAAGGTCAGTAATTATTAAGAACATAATAATGGGAATAGGTTATGCAGCAGTTAGAGAATTTATCATCTTATCAAAACACCTTAAGAGATTGTGTGACTCATTTTCAGACAAGATCTGACCGAGCTTCTGATTTCAGAAGTGTAATAATGAACCCACAAATGCCTCAAGCCACAAAAATACTGCAGGCATAACTGTTTGCAACTGGATACCCAGTAAAATACAATATATTGACATACATACAATAGTGCTTATTTGCCCACTCACTTTGTGGTGAATGCTAGTCTTTGTGGCCATAAAACTGAACCAGCAGAATTAGAGGACCCTTCAGAAAATACAAAGCTTAAGTTTTTTGACATCTTAAGATAACATTATTTCTTTAAAATTTCATTTCCATCTTACTAGTGAAATTCTAGAGTACTGTGTTTGAAGAAACCAGTTTACAGACCTATGTGTGCTATCATTCAAAGAATCGAATATGTTTGGAAAAAATAGCTTTTTAGAAGTATCTTTACCTTCCTACATTCATTATATCAATTATTTTCTGTATTTTGAACATTCAAAAATATAATCAGCCCTTAGAACATTATGCATCTATTTAAATAATTTAAAAGTGTATATAGAGATAAATACATAGCCAAAAAACTAAAGCTGTGTAAAGTGAAGGCTAAATTATTTTTATGTTCACTTTTTATGTTATCATTTATTTAGACTTTGTATTCATTATGATCACTGAAGATGGATGTTTTGGAATAGAACTATAGTATCAGTACAAGAATATGTGTCCTGACTTTTAACTCTGCAGGGAGGTTCCATCACCCCTACCATTAGCTATCTAAATGTAGGCATTCCCCTTCTGATATGGAAAAAGAGCTTTACATATTTGGATCCCCTTTAGGGTCAATGAGAGAAATAGGCACTTTTAGACCACTTTTAGACATCTACTCCAGGACAAAGAAAATCACATGCCCTCAGTGCAGATGTCTCTTTTCAGGTGTGATAAAGGAAGCCAAAATAAGTAGTTTAGATATAAACATCAAAAATGCTGATGTCCTAAATTTAGTCAGTTGAATCCTACAACGTATCACAAACTTTCTTCTCAAACTTTCTCCTAGTTTTTATATCTACATATTTTTCTCTCAAGAAAATGCTTTATTTATATATGAAAGAATTTCAATTTTCAAAAGATAGTCTGAGAATACCATAATATTTACATGCAAGTATTACCCAGATAAGTGTAAACTTAAGAATCTGCAGATTCCAAATGTGCAAATTAGTGGGGTTTTATGTTATTTGGTATGTACCCAAGAGTACTCATGCACTTATAGGCACAGGCAGGCATATTAGTACATCACGGAGTTTCTTAGGAGGAGTAATTGAACATCTGGCTAATCTCCTATACATCCCTTATATGCATGGATTAAAACTGGCTTTGCTACCTTGGCATTAAAGTGGAGTGTGCTTCTTCAGTTCAAAGCATTTCAATTTTAATGAAAAAAGTACTCTCCATACACTCTTCTAGAATGGTTTTGTTTTGGAAGTGTACACTCAGAGTGGTGTGATCATTAAAATGAAATTACTTTGAAGTGAAGTAGTGCATTCTGAGCCACTTAGATGCAGGGAAAGGTTAGGAGGTTTAAATACAGAGGAAGAAGGTGATTTGTGCAACCGATGGATATCAGGGATAAGTAATTAATTTCTTTTTATTGTGTAAAGAAAAAATGCAAGAGGAAGTAGATACCTGCTACCTGACTATGCAAGGATACTTGCATCATTACCTTTGTGGAAGAAGAATGAAGGGTTCTTTCACAGGAATTATGGCTAGTGTAGTGTGAGCAGAAATGGAAAAGAGCTGAAAGGAATCAAAGACTTTTAAATATTATAGGAGGAAGGATATGCAAAGGCAGGCAA